GCGCGGTGGATGTTCGTCTGCACGTGTCATCATTCGAGGGTCGCTCAACGGTGGAGTGTCGAGGTCCATGGGAGCTTCTCTGCCTCGCTGTTCGGCGAGCAGCGCTCGAAAGGAGGGGGCCGCCTTGGCGGGCTGCAGAAAGGCATGTCGCGCCATCCCCTTTTACACGTGTGACTGCCGTTCGTTTGAGAGAGGATTCCTTTTTCAGCTTGTCTTCGCGAGTCACCGCTGGAGGGGGTGGAGCCGAGGGTGGAAAGAGCTTCTCGGAAGAATGTTCAAGTCCCGAAGCGCCAGCGCTCAACCTTTGCTTCGAGGTGACCGCGCTTGCGAGAATCGATGCGAAAGCGTGAATGTAGTGTTTGCCGGTTCAAAGTTGCAAGCCAGTCCCTGTATGGGCATGCGGTCAAGTGTCGCGTATTGAGTGATAACGACGTGAGCGTCTCCTCGATGCATGCGTATCAACTCCTTCAATCCGTAAGTTGTTGGGAAGCATTCTACCATGCATACGCGTAGTGTCACGTGACCATTGCACCGCCACATGTACAACTCGTGACTTCGACTCACGACTCGCCCTTATACTTTGACTACTGCTCGAGGGTTGCGTTGCGAAGCAGAAGATCGATGCCATCACGAATCTGGTCAGCAAGCCAACTCATGAGTCGAGCTCAAAGCTCGGTCAGAGCCATGGCGCAGGGCTATCGCATCATTTCCGCGTTCCGCACTGCGAGCCTTTGGCACAACCAAGATGATGAAAGGATGGTCGCAGCAATGAGCGCAAGTGACTGTTCTATGACACCAAATGAGTGAGTGGGCAGAGAAAGAAAGAAGACCGCGTCGAGACAACAAGACGCTTACGGCCACAGGCTGCAAAGGCTCAAATGAATGCTACACGGACGTGGCGCGCGTGTGAAACCGAATGAGGCTAAAGTCTAATTGCTGGAGATGTGAGGCCGGCGGGCTGATCTGCGTGGTGGTGGCAAAGAGCCTCCGTGTCCATGGGATGCGCCACTATCCCGCTCGCTCCAGGCCGCACTCGAGGTGTTTGTCG